ATAGCCTTTCAGAAGGCCATGAGAGTGGGTAGGGTCCGAATCTCTGGGGGTAGTTCATTCCAAAGGGTCGGGGCAGCCACAGAGAAGGCTCTCCTCCGACATTGCCTGGCTGACGGCACCTGAAGGAGGCCCACCCTGTGGGATCTTACTGGCCGTTGGGAGGTATGCGGTAGTAGGCGGTCTCGTAGGTATCCTAGTCCTGTCTTAAGTAAACGGTGAGGATGTGGAGTCTGGAATAAGGGTCAAAAAGCAGGAGCAGGACACATCAGATAGGTAAAGAAGCAACAGACCTGGTTAGACGAAAAGAATTAGGGAAAAGCATGGTTGAACTAATGGATCCTTCGTACTCTCTGAGCTTGGGATAGAGCAGAGGTCAGCCACCCGCAGCTCTGGAGCTGCATGTGGCTCTTTCATCCCTCTGCTGTGGCTCCCTGTTGCCGGTTGGCACCACAGTTTTGAAAGGAACTTCCGGTTGGGGAGGGGAGCACGGTGTGCCAGGAGGAGACTCTATGGCAAGGGGCAGGTTTTCCGGTCAGTTCCAGAATTGATAGGGCTTTCAGTTAGGACAGGTAGAGGGAAAAGGACACCGTGCTAGGAGGAGAAACTATGGTGGGGGAACTGGACTTCCGGTTGGTTCCAGAATTGAACGGGGGGGGCTTCTGGTTAGGACCTTTGTGGCTCTTTGAGTGTTTAACGTTGCCGACCCTTGGAATAGAGGAAGAGGCCAATAGAGGCCAAGCGCTTATTTGATGGGTCAAAAGAAAATAAGACCCTGTCTTATTTTGGGGGGAACACGTTAGTAAACCATATTTTCTGTGATCCTTGATGCTTTCTGAGTTAATTACTTGATGTCTGCAAGAAAATGAACGCAAGCTAAAAGAGCACCAAGGACCCCACAGTTCAACCATGAGCTATAAATATTCCCTTCTGTTGAAACCATATTTTGTCCCCGTTTTTTCAACTTCTCAACACGCGTCCTGCAATGAAACTTTTATCAATCCCCCCTCTTAATTTAAATCCGAGCCAACTTAACTCCTGGCTTCCTGCAGCTGTTATAGCAAAAAATGCTTTCTCCTAAGGTATGCCTCCCTAGGTAAGTCCTCTCCTGATCTCCTGATAACGCTAATAAGGCTCCCCGATGCAAGGGCTTTCTGAAAATTGCATTTAATAACAACTCTCTACATTTAAGAACAGTTCAATTAGCAGAATACCTTTTAGAAATGTTTCTCATTAGGGACACAATTGGCACAAGAATGCCAGTTAACCATGTCCAGATGAGGTTCCTGTCTTTCCGGAAATAATTAAATCCATTTCATCAAGTCTTTTAAATTCATTTACTGGAGAAAAAAGTATATTTAAAAGGATTTTTGGGTTTTGTTTTTTTTTTTTTTTTTTTTTTT